TGCTCTGCTGTTCCAAATCTCCCCTTTGATCTGGGTAGGAAATGCTCGGCTCCTGCCCTGGCTGGAGCATCTCCCAATGGGATGATGGAATTTGATCAGCCCTGGCCTGGGACTGCATGGCCATGAACAGGAGAGATCTCCTGGAGGGAGGATGGGCTGTGGGCAAGATAAAGAACACTGCCCCAGCTGGGTTAACACATGGGGATAGAATCCAGACTGCTGGGTATATCCTGCATTGCAAGCCAAGGCAGTGTACTGAGCTGCTGGGAGCAGTGTCTGTGTGTTAGGGGGAGAGTTGATGCAGAATGGAGCAGAATGGATGAACAGATTCTCTCTGGCTTCAACAACATGCTGGGGGTAGATTTCCCCTTTCAGCCCTGGGAAATGTTTGGTATGAAGTTGGCACCACAAGCCCATGTCCCATGAAAAGCAGTAAGTTGGAAGATATTGCCAAGGCACAAGGGTGTCCCCTGGCCTTCCCTGTTCTGTGGGTACATTAAAGGCTCCTCTAGAAGCTTTGAGGTGTAAGGGATGGTGCAGCTGATTCTGTCATCCTGCCCCTCCTCTGCATACAGAATTCCTGATGCCACTCCTTGGGTGCATTCTTTGTGCACCTTGGGAAGTGACAGCACTCCTGTGATGTTGGCAGGAGTCTGGAATTCCTTCCTTGGACGCTGCAAAAGCTGGTGGGAGAGGAGTCAGGGAGGAGGTTCCTGTAGTTAGGGAATGCTGGATGTGGTGCTGGAGGACTCCAGGAGCCATGGCTGGATAAAAGTGCTGGGTGAGATGGGTGAGATGAGGAAGGCAGGAAGGAGTTCAGTTCCAGGTGTGCCAGCACAGCCCAGGGAGGTGGCACAGGGCAGGACTGAGGTGCTGCCAAATGGGCAACTGGATGTTCCCAAGGGCACCCTGCAGAGCCAGCTGGGAATGGCATTGCTGGGATAATGCACTTCCCTTGCCCATATTCCTGCATTTTGTGCTTTCCAATCCATGCCTTATGCACACAGGGTATTTTTCAGGCACTTCAATACCCACACTAATTACTTTTCTCTGTGTACCTGTATTTAAAACATCAGTTTGGCTGTCCCCAAAGAACAGAGACTTTCCTAAAAGTCTCACTTGGAGCTGTTGTCCTCACTTGACATTAGCAGGGTATTTCATCTTGAATTAATGTGAAGTTTTAGACTTGGCCTTGACAAGCTGCACTTATCAACAGACCAACTTTGATTTCTTTAATCAAAATATGATGTGTGGAGCATCCAGGACATTGTGTATGTGCAGAGTAAAGCTCTTTGCCACGAAGGAATTTCCAAACACAGAACTCCTCGTGCTGCTTAATTGTCCCTGGATCTGGCTGGGCTGAGGAACTTAATGAAAACCAGATGGAAAGCAGGGAACTTCCTGCCCTGAGTTTCTATTATTATTTATAATTAGAGGGTTTGATGTGCACAAGGGATGGGGAGAGCATTTTAATGAAGCCATAAAATATTGCAGTGGTCTCGGATGCAGGGCAGTGACTGCAGTTCCATGGAGATGAAATATAGGGAAGGGCAGAGTTGGGATTGAGGGCAAACTCTGCTTTTGGAAACAATATTTTCATGGACTGTGGCAGGACGTGCTCTGTACCAGCAGTGGTGGAGCCAGGGCCTGGGATAAGTGATGGAAAATGGCCATACAGAAAAACTGGCCTTTTTTTCACTTCTGAACTGTCAGAGTCATATGAAAGAATATCAGTTTTGTCCCAAGTCACCTCTCAGATATATTTGACAATAAAGTTTGGAGTCAGGAGAGGAAAGGTGCCTGTCGATTTTCCATCCTGTGTTGGACTAAACCTGTGCCCTATTTTTTTCATGTTCAGTCCTTTAAAAAAATGCTTTTTTGTTTTCCAGCTGGGATGCAAATGCTTTCCTGACTGTTCCTATTTATGTAAAAAACCCCGTGAAGATCTAGGAAGGTTCTGTGGGCTCATCAAATCCCACATTTCTTGAGCATCTTCCTTCTTTCTAAATTCTTAGTGGGATACAATACTCTATAATTTTTGGCCTAAAATACTTAGACTAAAATATTGTATCAGATTAATATCTGCTATTTCATAGTTAATATTTTCAATTTAGCTGAACTTCAGTGCCAGAATAGAGGGAATCAGCTCATATTCATGAGGATTTTTAGAGATCCAGGATAAAGGCTGCATTTGAATTTCAGATATTCAGAGAGAAGTGAACCTTTTCAATATTCAGTGCTGCTCAGAAGGAGAAGTGTGAATAGCTGCTCTGGATTTTCCTTCTAAGTGAACATTTGTGAATAGCCTGAACTTTGTGGCTATGCTGACTCCTCTCATCCCTCTCTGTCCATCTCTTTTTTTTTTATGTCCATGAGTGTTCATGTTGTCCCCACTCCTCAGTCACAGGTAGTGTCTCAGCTCTCTCTTTCAGTCCCTTTCTTCCTCAGAATTCGGGATATTTGTAATTTAGCAGTATTCTAACCCACATATCACACCTAACTCATACCTGCAGTTTGTTTTTGTCTTTTCCTAACAAGCAGCATCTTCCTGTGACCCAGCTTCACTGCAGTGGCCTTGGCAGGGTCATTTTGGGCAACATTTTAGGCTTGGGCTTTGCTGGGGAGCAGCTGCTTTCAGTGGGGAAACACAGAATTAAGCTGCATTTTGCAGGGGCAGTTAGAGCTGAAGAGAAGAAATGGGGGAGTAGAAGGTAATGTTTCACTTTTTTTTTCCTCCCCCCAAAATAAGCACTTTTAAAGCCTCAGGGGTCATTCTCACAAAGAATGTATAACCCAGCAGCTCTGCCTAACTTTATGGAGGAGTTTTCAGCTTCCTGTCTCATCCATTTATTTTGAGAGGTGAAGGTGCTTGTTTGAGACATAGCATTAAAAGGTCCCCTGTCAGTATTACAAGCTGTTGTGAATGACTAATTTTCTTTTTAAAACATCAGTAACAGATTGATCTGGGTCAGCACACCCAATACAAATAATCCACTGAATTTCAGGAGGATTGAAAATTTAGCTCTGGATCAGACCCCAGGCCACTGCCCTGACCTCCTGCAGGCTCTGGTCAGTGCTGGAGAAATTAATTTTAACTGCAAAAATGCAATTTGAGACACATTCACTGACCTGTTGTAATCACAACAAGGCCATGCCTGGTTTGAAACAGGCTCTAATTTCTAATCCCTGGATAAAAAAGATTGTGGTCAATTTTTAATTTTAATAAAAATCAGAAAGGAGAAAGTACAAATAGAGCTTAACTTCTGCAGATGCCCAGGCTGAGCAGCCATTTGACACTGATAAGAGCATCATGTCTTAATTAGGCTTTTATAAAGAAAACAGGGGAAGTGAAAGTGTACATAATTAGTAGCAGTCTTGT